TATTGAATAATATTCTTTAGGTTGATAGGAATAATCTTCAATAGAAATAGTATGCAGGTAGCAGAGAATATTTGCAAAGCGAGAAACAGTTCATAGTGGTTAAGCTTGATGGAAGTTATCCCCAATATAATTAGTGTGTATGCAGCAGAGAGGATTTGAGCAAGCAAGAAACAGTTCATTAATAACTGAGATTCCAGATAATAGATTGGAAGTTATACTTAAGATTAATGTGAGTTGTCCTCCAAGAGATCAGTATTAGAGTCCACTTGTTCAATGGTAAAGTGTCCGTTCTCCAGTAATCCTCTAGCGGATGAAGCATAATCCTTTTATCTTCAAAGGTTTAGGAGAGAAGCTTTTGAGAGAAGCTTGTGGAGCCGGCGTCTATACCCGGAAGTAGGTCCCACAATCACCAAGCACTTTCTCTCTGGCACGGTCTCTCTAAGTAGTGTCAGAGAGCCGCGTCAGAAGGGGGCAGGGCCAGCTCCGCATAACTGGAATGCCGAACCCGGAAGAGATACCGCATGACAGGACCCCTTGGTTTCTGAGGGTACCGTTTGTGAAAGGCAGAAATCAATTGCATGTATATCAGAAGAATTTTCCCAGGTTTTATCTTCAGCTCCATAACCCTTCCATTTGATAAGATATTGTAAGTTACCTCTTTGAAATCTTGAGTCAAGAATTTTTTCAATTTCATATTCCATTTCACCTTGAACTTCAATGGGGTCATGCTTTGACAATTGTTCCCTGTGGAAGGGATCAGGGAAAAAAGGTTTTAGAAGGGAAACATGAAAAACAGGATGAAGTTTAAGTGAAGGAGGAAGTTTCAATTTCACAGCATTTTCATTAATAATGGATTCAATTTGAAAAGGTCCAAGGAAAATAGAACTCCGTTTCTTTGAAAGACGGTTAGTATAAATGTTTTTTGAAGAGAGCCAAACAGTGTCACCAATTTTATATTTGGGAGGAGCTCTCCTTTTAATATCATAATTCCGTTTATATAA